TGAGCGGTTCCGCTGCCCCGAGGCCCTCTTCCAGCCTTCCTTCCTGGGTGAGTAAGGCCTCTCCCTGCCCCCCACAGAGGCAACCCTTGTGGCCACGCAGGAAGCTAAGTGCCTTCATTCCCTTCAGGCATGGAATCCTGTGGCATCCACGAAACTACCTTTAACTCCATCATGAAGTGTGACGTCGACATCCGAAAGGACCTCTACGCCAACACGGTGCTCTCTGGTGGGACCACCATGTACCCAGGCATCGCTGACAGGATGCAGAAGGAGATCACCGCCCTGGCTCCCAGCACGATGAAGATCAAGGTGAGTGTCTGCCCAGCCTGAGCTGGCCTGGTTGCGTGGAGTGCGTCCAGCTGGACTTGGTGGGATGGGCCCCTTTGGTTGTCACCCAGGGTCCTTATGCTAACTTTCATTCTCTCTCTAGATCATTGCTCCCCCTGAGCGCAAGTACTCCGTATGGATCGGCGGCTCCATCCTGGCCTCGCTGTCCACCTTCCAGCAGATGTGGATCAGCAAGCAGGAGTACGACGAGTCCGGCCCCTCCATCGTCCACCGCAAATGCTTCTAGGCTTCTAGGCGGACTGTTACTTAGTTGGTTACACCCTTTCTTGACAAAAACCTAACTTGCGCAGAAAACGAGATGAGATTGGCATGGCTTTATTTGTTTTTTTTTTTGTTTGTTTTCTTGGTTTTTTTTTTTTTTTTTTTTTTTTTTGGCGCTTGACTCAGGATTTAAAAACTGGAACGGTGAAGGTGACAGTCTGTTGGAGCGAGCATCCCCAAAGTTCTACAATGTGGCCGAGGACTTTGATTGTACATTGTTCTTTTTTTTTAACAGTCATTCCAAATATCGTGAGATGCATTGTTACAGGAAGTCCCTTGCCTGCCCCAAAGCCTCCCACTTCTCCCTAAAAAGGGCCAGTCCTTGCCCCGAGTCCACACGGGGAGGGTGATAGCATTGCTTTTGTGTAAATTATGTAATCCAAATTTTTTAATCTTCGCCTTAATACTTGTTCTTTTTGTTGTTTTTGAATGGTCAGCCGTCATGGCCCCCCTTTTTGTCCCCAACTTGAGATGTATGAAGGCTTTTGGTCCCCCTTGGGAGTGGGTTGAGGTGTGGAGGCAGCCAAGCCAGGGCTTACCTGTACACTGACTTGAGACCAGTTCAATAAAGTGCACACCTTAAAGAAACTTGCCTTTCTGGCCTGGATGAGTTTTGGATAACAAGGTGTAGGGAGAGGGGTGGGGCCAGGCCACCCCTACTTCCAAGGGGAGTGGTTGAGCAGCCAGCAAAGGCTAACACTGAACAGTCTTGGGGTAGGGGACTCTGGAGAGGTTAAGGGTTCTGGCCTCTAGGCCTTTAAAAGGAATTCCTTGCGCTGGTCCTTCACCTGTCCCCCAAGTCACCCCTACTTGACTTGCTGGGTTCTGAAGTGCAGGTGGCTTTGAGTCTGTTCCAGGAACCACATGCCTCTGGGGTTGGGTGGGTACCTGTGTTACCACCTGTGAGTGGGGCTCCCTCACAACTGGGCCACAACCCTGTACTGCCAGCTCACCTGGAGGGACAACCTGCATAGCCAAAGCGGGGGTTTCCCTAGGGGTCTGCAAGGCAGCGTCCTGGGTCCAGGGCTGGGGTGAAGGTGTCAGGTTGGCAGAGATGGCTCTGGTTGGCTCTGGGATGTCAGGACTCCCTTGTGGCTGGGAGTAGATGCCTTCCTGTGCATCCTGTTCTGGTCTAATCCCAAGACCCTGCAGGGAGGTGCAGCAGCCAGGCTCTTGGAGCAGGGTTTTCCCTACGCATGTCAGCATCTTGCTCTCAGGGCTCCGATCAACTTGAAAACCAAGCATGACCTACCCTTTGACTGCAGCTGCTGCTTCTACCAGCAGAGAATGAGGGAGGGGAAGGGTGAGGCCCCCCATGAGGGATTTTGTCTCCATTTCTCCAGAGGGAAACAGTTGGATCCCCATCAATCCAGGTTTGAGGCTTGAGGAGCAACCCCCCCCTTGGAGGGGCACTGTGGCCCTTGGAAGGGTCATTTCCCAGAGGAAGAGTAGAGATTTATCTTCTGCCAGTGGGAAGGACACTGTCTTAAGATCTCGTGATGGCTTCCAAAACCAAACGAGCCTGTGGTCCCCTAGCTCACCTAGGCAGGTTTTCCTAGTCTGATTCTAGAACACCACAGCAGGTGACTGGCTCCCCCATGAGGCAGCTCAGGCTACCCGAGGTTCACCTCTTTAAGGAGCTAGAATGTCCTTACTCTGCAAAGCAAGCTGCAACAACTGGTCCAGAGGAGGTGGCAGCACGGTGACCAGTATGCTTCTGTGGCTGCCCACCAACCCCACACAGTCTAGAGGCCTGGGAAGCAGGGTCCGTGAAAGGGAAGTCCAACCTGGGCCAGTTCCAGCTCTCTTGAGCCAATGAGGTAATGGTGCTCCCTGAGCTCTTGGAGCTACAAGTAAGTTTTCAACATAGACCACTTACTCATTCCACAGACTTATTGAGGGCCTGGGGCTACTGAGATGGCCTGGACTCAAACCCTGTCCTGAAGAGCTGTCAGTCTGGAAAGAAAGACCCTCCCTTTTTCTTTCCTTCCTTCCTCCAACCACTATTTGACCCAGGCATGGTGCTATGGACCGAGGTGCAGTGGAGAAGAAACCAGATGTGTTTCCTGCCCTCAAGAGGTGCCCAGTTTAATGGGGGAGACATAATATATATGTAGGCAAAGAAATAAATATGCAATTAGTTGTGATAATAAAAAGGAAGAGTTAGGGGCTGCATGGGAGAAAGAAGACAGGAGCATGGTGATGGGGAGATGGTCATCATATCCACTGTGATTGTGTCACGGGTGTACACACTCATCAGTAGAATGGGAAAATAATGAAGAAATACAGATAAAGAGAAACAATAATCATTTTGCCATTTTTGAACAACAGAAAAGGTAGTAAAAGACCACAAACCTTTACCCAGCTGGTGTGGCTCACTAGTTGAGCATTGACCCATACACCAAGAGGTCGCAGGTTCAATTCCTGGTCAGGGCACATGCATTACGGGCTCGATCCCCCGTAGGGGGCATGCGTGTGGGAGGCAGCTGACCAATATTTCTCTCTCATGGATGTTTCTCTCCCTCTCCAAAAATATCAACAACAATAATATTCATCATCATCATCATAAAAAGACTATAAACCCAGATGACTGGTGAGTGGGGAGCATCACCCTAGAGTGGGAGGCTTCCCCAGAAGGCTTCCTGTGGCAAGGATGCCTGAGCTGGCCCAGTAGGCCAGTCACCTGGGTAGGTGGAGGTTTGGGCATGCTTGTCTCAAACAGCCCTGGACTGACAGGACAGAAGCCCAGGTTGAGAGACAACCCTTGGAGAAGAATGGGACCAGTGGTTGGGGCCAGACACCTCGAGAAGTCACATCATTGTCCATATGCACAACTGAAAAATGGGAACAGGAGAACAACTGGAGGGGTGGGTGTTCTATCCATCTTTTCTTTTGAAAAGTTCTGGAAATGCAGCTGAGACACACAGTTGACTTTGAGAGTCCTTTAGGCCCTGCTTCTTCCCTTTGAGGCCTGCAGGTGGGCTCACCATCTGAAGTCTGGCTTGGAGCAAAGGCCCAGCATCACCCAACCCAAGCCAGGCTAAGTGAGAGCATGTCACACTGCCTCTCTTCTCCTCTTAGCACACATTTTACAGGTTTGGAAAAAGGGCTGAGAGAGGACAGGTGGCTGGCCCCAGGTTACACAAATTGTAAGTGAGGAAACCGGAGTTTGATCCTAACATTGAGGCAGTCCGATCACTGCCGGCTTCATTGCTTCTTCCCTGGACAGATCATTGGTCCAGATGCACTCAAGTTCACTGTCAACAGGACTATTCTGTTTCACAGAAATGGCAGAATTTCCTTCTAACTCTGCAGTTTCCCCTGCCCTGGGATGGGAACTACTGGCTTTCTCAGGTGACTGGCTCCCCCATGAGGCGGCTCTGACTACCTGAGGTTCCCCTGTTTAATGAGCTGGAATGACCCTCCTGTGCAAAGCAGCTCTGCTTGGACAGACTGCACCCCAGGGAGCCTCTCTGAGAGAAGGGGAATCCAGGTTAGTGGAGGGGCGAGGAACCAGTGGTCCTTCCCTTCATCTTGACACCTTCCTGGAGCCAGGGGGTGAGGACGCCGGGAGGATGCTCTTGGTCATACTGATGCAGGGCAGCCGTCTTCCTTATGGGGAAACTGAGGCTTGGAGGGTGAGACAGCTTTGAAATGTCAAGATTCAGACACGTGTTCTGGCCTGGAATCCACCAAAGGACACAGAGGCTGGAATCATCCAGAAACCCCTGTCAGGGGCTAGTGCCCCCCTTCACTGCCTTTCATCATTCAGCTTGTATTTAAAATATATATATATATTTTTTTTTTCTTTATTGATTTTTAGAGAGAGGAAGGGAGAGAGAGAAACGTCGATGAGGGAGAACATCAATTGGTCCACTGGCCACCCCCTGCATGCTCCCCACTGGGGATTTGGTCTACAACCCCAGCGTGGGTCCTGACCGGAAGTCGAACCCGTGACCTCTTGGTGCCTGGTCCGCGCTCAACCACTGGGCCACACCAGCCACACCAGCCACACCAGCCAGGGGAATTCAGGTTGTCGTCTGAGCAGCCACACAGTGCCACGGGCCGGGGTAGGGCAGTAACGTGGAGACACCGTCCCTGCCCTCGTTAAACATCCCACCGGGGACCACTAGCCCCGTGTGGCGATCTAAATTAAATCAAGTTGAGTGCTGAGGTCAGAGAGCAAGCAGGGACGCCTGGGGGTCCTCCCGGCTTCAACCCGCACCTGAGCCGGGTCTTGGCAGCGCCGCACCCAACATGGCGGCCACGCAGAGCGAGCCGGCGGGCGAGCGGAAGTGCGTGTCGGAGAGCGCCGGAAGTGGCGCGAGGCCCCGCCCCCGCCGGGGTCTCTGTGGAGCCGCGGACGCGCCGGCTTTGAGCGTCCCGGTCGGCGAGGCGGCAGGCCCTGGGGCTGCGGCTCCAGCGGCCGCGGCTCGATCTCCCTCGACATGGCCAGCTCCGGAGAGGTACGGCGGGCGCCTCCCTCCGCTCTCCTCCCTGCCTGGCGGCCTCGGCCCTCCTCGGTCTCTCCCATCCCGACCCCGCTTCCCCTGCATCCTTTTCATCCCGCCCCTTATCCCGCTCCGTCCTTCCCGAACCGACCCCGGCCCGCTTGGTTCTGTCGACCTCGACCCTGACGTCGGTGGGGGTTGGTCCTTCCTGTCCCGACCCCGAACTCGGCCTCTCCCGGTCGCCCATCCGGACCCTGGCCTTGCCCCATCGCGCCCTCCAGGCCTTCGCCCTGATCAGCTCTCTCCCCGTTCGCGTTTCCCTGCCTTCCTGGTCGCCAGGGGCTTCCCCTCCTCTCCGCCGCGGTTCCACTCCCAGGCCTCCCGGGCACGTCTTCCCGGCCTCCAAGACCTGCGCCCTCCGCCACCTCTTCGCACCCCATCCTCTTTCTCTGAACGCGGAGCCCAGCCCCTTTCTCTCCGAGACTACTTGTTGTGTGACTTGGGGGCGGTAGTAAAAGAAAAGCCATTTCACCTGGGGGACTTAGGAGTTACCCAGAATTCCTCCCCCGACTCTCCGCACATTTGGTGCCAGTGGAGAGTCCCACCGACTCCCTGGAAAGTATTGCCAGGTATTTTCTTTGCAGACCAGGGTATGGGCGGATCTGGACTCTGACCAGTGTCTTCCCTTTTGTTGCTCCCCACCGACCTTTCTGTGCACCCGTGTTTCTGTCAGCCATCCGGGACTTGGGGGCGTACTTTCCGTCTTAGGGGCTGGCCTGGGGCTTGGGTATATGGAAGGTGGTTGGGAGTAGCTGACAGCTCCTCTAAATTTGAAGTGAATTTGGCTCAGAAGTGGCCCCTGTGGCTCCTTGATTTGGGGAGGGGGCCGTGGGGCCCACCCGTAGATGGTAGTGGAAAGTTGCACAAGAGTTGCAGCTCCCTGAGGAAGAGTCCTAGGCAGCCTGGCTGTGTTAGCTGATTCTGGGGAGTGGTGTGTACTTGAGGCGGGAGGGGTGGGATGGGTAGGGGGGTGGTGGAGGGGATGGGAGGTGTCTGGTATCTTGGTCTTATGGGGTTCTGTTGCAGAGGCTCCCCTGCTCCTTGAAACACATGTTGGGAAACTGGCCAATGAGGCTGCTTCTTGTTGTGGGCATCTCTTGGGTCGAGAGGAGAGAGCAGTCTTCATTCACCGTGGATGTGGAGATCAAGGTCCCCTTTTCTCAGATGGTCTAATTTTTTATTTATTGATGGAGATATAGTTCACATACTATAAAATTCACACTTTTATTTTTTTTCTAAGATTTTTTTTTTTATCCTCACCCGAGGACATTTTTTCCAGTTTTTGTTCAAATAGAGTGGGAGAGAGAGGAAGAGAGGGAGAGAGAGAAACATCGATGTGAAAGGGACACATCGAGTGGCTGCCACCCAACCAGGGCCAGGGACAAACTGCAACCAAGGTACGTGCCCTTAGCGGGAACCAAAAGCGGGTCTCTCTGGACCGCAGGCCGACGCTCTAACTGCTGAGCCAAACCAGCCAGGGCCTAAGATTTTTTAATTATTATTATTATTATTATTTTTGGTACGTGCCCGTAGCAGGAACCGAACCCAGGACTCTGGTCCACAGGCCAACACTCCAACTGCTGAGCCAAACTGGCCAGGGCTAATTATTATTATTTTTTAAATTTATCTTTTATTTATTTATTTATTTATTTATTTTATCCTCACCCGAGGATATTTTTCCATTTTTTGTACAGATAGAGTGGGAGGGAGAGAGAGGAAGGGAGAGAGAGAGAGAAACATCGATGTGAAGGGACACATCGAGTGGCTGCCACCCGCACGACCAACCAGGGCTGGGGACAAACTGCAACCGAAGTACGTGCCCTTAGCGGGAACCGAACCCAGGTCTCTCCGGACCGCAGGCCGACGCTCTAACCGCTGAGCCAAACTGGCCAGGGCTATCTTCTATCTTTTATCTTTTATTTTTTATTTTTGGTACATGACCCTAGTGGGAACCGTACCCGGGACTCTCTGGTCTGCAGGCTGAAGCTCCAACCGCTGAGCCAAACCGGCCAGGACTTATTTTTTTTCTAAGATTTATTTATTTATATTTTAAAATATCTTTTTATTGATTTCTAAATTTTACTTATTTTTTTATTCCTCACCCAAGGATATTTTTCTACTTACTATCAGATAGAGTGGGAGGGAGGGGGAGAGAGAGACAGAAACTTCCGATGTGATAGAGCCGCATAGACTGCCTCCACCATGAACTGACCAGGGCCCGAACCGACCAGGGCCCGAACCGACTAGGGCCCGAACCGACTAGGGCCCGGATGAACTGCAACCAAGGTACGTGCCCTTGACCGGAATCGAACCCTTGACTCATTGGTCCGCGGGCCAACACTCTAACTGCTGGGCCAAACCAGCCAGGGCTTTTTTATTGATTTTTTTAGAGAGGGGAAGGGAAAAAGAGATAGAAACATCGATGTAATGCCTGGCCAGTGTGGCTCAGTGGTTGAGTGTTGACCCATGCACCATGAGGTCGCTGGTTTGATTCCCGGTCAAGGCACAAGCCTGGGTTGTGGGCCCAATCCCCAGTTGGGGGCACGCAGGAGGCAGCCAGTTGATGTTCTCTCTTGTCGATGTTTCTATCTCTCCTTCTCCCTGCCTCTCTCTCTAAAATCAATAAAGAAAAAAAAAGAAAGAAACATCGATGTGAGAGAGAAACATCAATCGGCTGCTTCCTGCATGCGCCCCACTGGGGATCCAGCCTGCAACCGAGGCATGTGCTCTGACTGGGAATCAAACTGGGACCTGTCAGTCCATGGGACAATGCTCAACCCACTGAGCCACACCAGCAGAGCTAAAATTCACACTTTTGTTATTTATGTATTTTTTTTTTAATATGTTTTTATTGATTTTTTTAGAGAGAGAGGAAGGGGAAAGAGACAGAAGCATTGATGTGAGAGATAAACATCGATTGGCTGCTCCCCCTATACTTCCCACTGGGGATCCGGCCTTCAACCTAGGCACGTGCCCTGACCAGGAATAGAACTGGGACGTCTCTGTCCATGGGACAACACTCAATCCACTGAGCCAAACCAGCCAGGCTAAAATTCACACTTTTTTAAAATTTTTATTATTATTATTTTTTAATGTCTTAAAAAATATATATTTTTTCCCTTTATTTAATTTGAGAGGGAGAGAGAGATATAAATGTCGATTGGCCACCTCCTGTATGCCCCCAACTGGGGATCAGGCCCACAACCCAGGCATGTGCCCTGACTGGGAATGGAACTGGCAGCCTCTTGGTGCAGGGTTGATGCTCAACCACTGTGCCACATTGGCCAGACTAAAGTGCACAGTTCAGCCCTGGCCAGTTTGGCTCAGCGGTTAGAGCATCCGTCCTTGGACCGAAGGGTTTCAGGTCAATCCCCAGTCCCAGTCAGGGTCCTGTGGGAGACAACCAATCAATGTGTTTCTCTCACATTAGTGTCTCTCTCTCCCTCCCTCGTTTCCATTCCATCTAAAAATCAATAAAAAATTACCCTCTAGTGAGGATTTAAAAAAATGTACAATTCAATGGTTTTAAAAAATATATTCATAAAGTTGTGCAACTGTCCCCACTATCTGATTCCAGAGTGGGCTGTTCTGATTTTGCACGTCATTGCTAGTTTTAAAGTTTGGATGCCCAGGCTCCTCTCACAGTTTCTGAGGAGTCGAGTTTCCATTTTTGTTTGTTTGTTGCTTTTGTTAATCCTCACTCGAGGTTTTTTTTTAATCCTCACCCAAGGATATTTTTCTGTTTATCATCAGATAGAGTGGGAGGGAGGGAGAGAGTGGGACAGAGAGAGAGAGAAACATCAATGTGAGATGGTTGCCTGGTTGCCTCCCACACCACCCCAGGCTGGGGACGAACCACAACCCAGATACGTGCCCTTGATCGGAATTGAATCAGAGACTCATTGGTCCATTGACTCAGGTCAATGTTCCAAACACTGAGCCAAACCAGGCAGGTCCCAAGGATGTTTTTCCATTGACTTTTAAGTTTTCTTTTTTTTGGGTACGTGCCCCTAGTGGGAACCGAACCCAGGACTCTCTGGTCCGCAGGCCAACGCTCCATCCAACCACTGAGCCAAACCGTCCAGGGCTCTATTGACTTTTAGACAGAGTGGAAGGGAGGGAGGTAGAGGGGGAGAGAGAGAAACATTGATGTGAGAGAGACATATCAATTGGTTGCCTCCTGCACTACCCTGACCAAAGCAGGGATGGATTGAACCTGCAGCCCAGGTACATGCTCCTGACTGGGAATAGAACCCACTACCTTTTGGTCCCTAGGCTGTTGCTCTAACTGCTGAGCCAAACCAGCCAGAGCTACAGTTCCATGTTTAATACCACTTCAGATGATTCTGAAGCAGGTGATTAGTTGACTCACCTGGTTCAGTGCCTCTTTCTCTTGGGTGTTAAAAAATAATCCTTGGGCCCTGGCCGGTTTGGCTCAGCGGTTGGAGCGTCGGCCTGCGGTCCAGAGAGACCCGGGTTCGGTTCCCGCTAAGGGCACGTACCTTGGTTGCAGTTTGTCCCCGGCCCTGGTCGGTCGTGCGGGTGGCAGCCACTCGATGTGTCCCTTCACGTCGATGTTTCTCTCTCTCTCTCTCCCTCCCGCTCTACCTGAACAACAACAACAAAAAATAGTCCTTGTTCAGGAGCCATTCCTGGTCTAGTGAGGAGATAAATGAGCAAGCAAATTGTTACATTTCATCTGATGAGACTGTGGTCTGGAGGGGGAGGAGAGTACCTGGGGTAGCTCAGGAGGGGGAGTTAAGTGTGTTGGGGATGCTGGGAGGGCTTCACTGAGGAGGGAGCATTTGAGCTGCAGTTCAGAGACCCATGGTGAGCGAGCCATGAGCCAAATGACCTGCTGCCTGGGTGGCTCCTTCTCCTCCAGGCTGGCCCAGCGTTGGGGGGATGTACTGAGGCTGGACAGAGGGAGCTGGGGCTTGGTTCCTGGCTTCTTCTTCTTCTTCTTCTTCTTCTTCTTCTTATTATTATTATTATTATTTTTTTTTTATCCTCACCCGAGGACATTTTTCCATTTTTTGTTCAGGTAGAGTGGGAGGGAGAGAGAGGAACAGAGAGAGAGAGAGAAACATCGACGTGAAAGGAACACATCGAGTGGCTGCCACCCGCACAACCGACCAGGGCCGGGGACAAACTGCAACCGATGTACGCGCCCTTAGCGGGAACCGAACCCGGGTCTCTCAGGACCGCAGGCCGACCCTCTAACCGCTGAACCAAACCGGCCAGGGCATTATTTTTAATTCTTGTAATTTCTAGGTGGTTTTAAGAGAAATTTAGTATTAGTAGCATAACTGGTAATGATATGATTTGGCATTTTGTACAGTGTTTTGCCCTGTGTTCTCATCACTCTCTGGTGGTATTCTTACTTTGGCAAATCTGCAAATAAGGGTACAGGAGGAGTAAACCTCAGGCCCCTCCATATTGTCCCCAGGCCCTGTTGGTGCCAGAGCCCTGTTTGCCAGCTTCCTGCTGAGGATTATCCCTGTTCAAGCCTCTTCCTGGAGATTGAGTCCTTAGGTTGAGGATGAGCTCTGGGAGTCTGTTTTTTTATTATTTTTTTAAATGGTTTTTATTAATTATTTTTGTTACAGATATTTCTCCTTTTCCCCCCATTGACACCCTCCTTCTGGGAATCTGTTTTTTTTTTTTTTAATTTTTTTTTTTTTATCCTCACCCGAGGATATTTTTCCATTTTTTGTACAGATAGAGTGGGAGGGAGAGAGAGGAAGGGAGAGAGAGAGAGAGACATCGATGTGAAGGGACACATCGAGTGGCTGCCACCCGCACGACCAACCAGGGCCGGGGACAAACTGCAACCGAAGCACGCGCCCTTAGCGGGAACCGAACCCGGGTCTCTCCGGACCGCAGGCCGACGCTCTAACCGCTGAGCCAAACTGGCCAGGGCTGGGAATCTGTTTTTTAACAGGTGCCTGAGTGATCTCAGGTGATTGGGTCTGGGAAATTTCTAAGGAAACGCCCTATGATTCAAAACATAAAGACCAGAATGCAGCAACCCAGGTAGCTGTGGACCTGGGTCTGATGGCTGCCTCCTGTCCATGTAACTGGGGGAGTAGGGAGCTGGGATTGAGGGCAGGTCAGGTGGGAAGAGAAGGCACATCTGTCTGCTGCCTCTTAGGAAGAAGAGAATGTGGCGAGGCCCAGCTGTTGAGCAGGTGGGATGTGTCCCCGGAAACCCTTCCCTGGCCTGGCAGGGGTTTGCAGGTGCAGAGCCTGTCAGGAAGGGTGGAACCCCACAGTGCCTGCGATGGGGGTGTAGACAGGCTCTTCCTCCTCAGACTTCACAGTTGCCATGGCAGCAGCAGGGCTTTCCAAGCCTCAGTGCTTCCATCCATGAAAATATGTGCAGAAAAGGTAGGCTGGAGGAGGGGCTTGGAGGAAGAATCACTGGAAAAGGCAGTAGAGAATTCTGGGTACTCTCCTGGGAATGGTCAGAGAGGGGCCCCCTCACATTTTAGAGGCAGGAGGGTCCGTTTGGGGAGGTGTTGGGAACACATGGATTCCTTCCCTCACGGGCTTCCCTTAGACTGGAGCATCTGAATTCCCTTGGCCTTGATTTGGGGATTCCGTGTCACACTGATAGGTGGGGCCCCTCCCGCTCGGTTGTGTGCATCAGAAAGGCACTGACGGTGGATGGAAGGGCCAGTCCGGGAAGAGATCTCTGCAGAGATCTACAAAAGCACAGTGGAATGTGTGCGCCTCTCACTGAAACACCAGGAGTTTCTTTCTTTTTATAATGTATTTTTATTGATTTTTAGAGAGAGAGGAAGGGAGAGGGAGAGAGAGAAACATTGATGAGAGAGAAACATCAGTTGGCTGCCTCCTGCATGTCCCCTACTGGAGATTAAGCCCAAAACCTGGGCATGTGCCCTGACTGGAATCAAACCAGTGACCTCTTGGTGCATGGGATCAACACTCAGCCATTGAGCCACACTGGTTGGGCAACACCACGAGTTTCTAACCAGACGCATGATAAATGGAGTAGATTGTGCAGTCCCTGTGGTTTATTACAATTCTGACATTGAAAAATGTTACCAGTCTCCCTGGCCTGTTTTGCTCAGTGGTTAGAGCCTCGGCCCACAGACCAGTGAGTGACGGGTTCAGTTCTGGTCAAGGGTTCGTCCCTGGCCCTGGTCCGGGTCATGTGGCCTTGGTCGGGGTTGTGCGGTAGGCAGTCAGTTGATGTGTCCCTCTCACGTTGATGTTTCTCTCTCCCTCCCTCCCACTCTGTCTGAAGTTAAATAGAAAAGTATACTTGGGTGAGGATTAAAAGCAAAGAACATTGTCTCCAGTCTACTTGTGCTGTTCTTGTTTGTAAGGACGTACAGTGTAATTCTCAGTGGCCATCCCTCTCTGTTTACTTGCCCTTAACGACCGTGCTGAGAAGAGTTACTGTCCCACACGACTTGCAGATGGTATGCGTCAACTAGTTTACCCATCACGGTGGCTCTGTGAGGGGAAGGCCTCAGGAATATCCCTAGTTACTGTTGTTTCCTGACAGAATTCTCCTGCCCAAGGTTCCAGTACAGCTTGACATTTGGGGCCGAGTAGGGGGATGGGCAGCAGCTTTCACAAACGAAGAACCTTGACCAGTGGTTGAGTATGAAATGTGCCAGACTTGACCAAAGATCTTTAGCAGGAATAATCTCTTTGAAGTTTCAAACACATTTGAAATTGCCTTTTGAATGCATTGCTTTTGAAGAGAGATCCTGGTGTGCAAATCAAAAAGAGCTTTTGAAGAATGACATGAGTTCTTGCTCTGCAGTTAAGGCTGTGGTAAAAGCACATTCTTTCCCATGGACAGTGGTAAGGGCTTCTCTTGGCTTCTCTCCCTGGCTGGGGAGGCTGGGCCAAGGGCCGCCCTTGGGGATCCCATGGGAATTGCACGCCTCCTTATTTTCAGGACCTGTCCAATGATGGTGACGTGCCCCCTGCAGCTGCCGCGATGGCGGGCAGTGCCCACCTGCTGGGCTTCTCCGACGAGATCCTCCTGCACATCTTGAGCCACGTGCCTAGCACGGACTTGGTTGTGAACGTCCGGCGCACCTGCCGCAAGCTCGCAGAGCTGTGCCTGGACAAGAGCCTCACCCACACCGTGCTGCTGCAGAAGAACTACGAGGTGAGGCGTGTGCGGGCGCTGGCGCGGTGCGGGCAGGAGATGGGGAGCAACACGTGCCCATTTTCACAGAGGGGCACCATCAGAGTCCTGACTAGGACAGCCCCCGAGATACCTACATGAGAAAAGCTAGGGACCAAAAAGTGCATGTCACCTGGGGGGAAGGTGCAAGTATTGGGGACATTGTTTTAGGAGGGCTTTGGGCTAAGAGGGAGACTTACTTTGCTGTTGATCCAGGGGTGGAATTGCCGGCCCCTGATAGGTGTGGGAACTTTCCTATGAAGTTAAACATGGGCTCTGAGTGGTGCAGGGGAGGCGCCATTGACACCCACCAGCAGGGTGCCTGTGGTTTGGTGGCCTGGTGTTGTCACTGTTTGAAGTTTCAGCCATTCTGATGGATGAGACATGTTATTTCACTGTGGTTTTCACTTGCGTTTACCTGATGGAGGCTGTTGTCGATTATGTTTTCATCAACTGTGGGCCATTTGTATATCTTTTTTTTTTAAATGTTTTTATTGATTTTTTTGGAGAAAGAGGAGGGAAAAGAGAGAAACATCGGTGTGAGAGAGATCCATCGATCGCCTTTTCCTGCACACACACCCCTGCCCCCGCTGGGGATGGAGCCTACAACCTGGGCATGTGCCCTGACCGAGAATCGAACCAGGTCCTCTCAGTCCATGGGACGACACTCAGGCCACTGAGCCACACCAGCCAGGCATTTGTATATCTTTTCAGAAGTGATTGTGCAAGGCTTTTGCCATTTATAATTGTCTCTCTCTTTCTTAGTGAGTTACAAGAGTTCTGTGTATATTCTGGATACAAATCCTTTGTCAGATACACATATTGTGACTACTTTTCCCTCATAGTCTGTGGCTTGCCATTTCATTTTCTTAACAGTGACTTTTGAAGAGTGTAAGTTTTAAATTTTGGTGTAGTCCAATTTATTGAATTTTTGAATTCATGCTTTCTGTATTCTATTAAAGAAATCTTTGTGAAACCTGAGGTCATAAAATTTCCTCCTTAGGTTATCATCATCTTTTTAATATATTTCTTTCTTTTTATTGATTTTAGAGAGAGAGGAAGGGAGAGGGAGAGAGAGATAGAAACATCGATGAAAGAGAACATTGATTGGTCACCACCTGCATGCCCCGCACTGGGGATTTGGCCCACAACCTGGGCATGTGCCCTGACCGGAATCGAACCGGCGAACTCTTGGTACATGGGTCGATGCCCAACCACTGAGCCACACCAGCCGGACTAGTTATACAATTTTTTTCTTTTAATGACAACTTTTAAAATTTACTCTATTGGTAACTTTCTTTTTTTTTTTAATTTTCACCTGAGGACATTTTTCAGTATTTTGTTCAGATAGAGTGGAGGGAGCGAGAGAGAGAGAGAGCGAGAAACATTGATGTGAAAGAGACACATCGAGTGGTTGCCACTCACACGACCCAACCAGGGCTGGGGACAAACTGCAACCGAGGTACGTGCCCTTAGCGGGAACCGAACCCGGGTCTCTCTGGACCGCAGGCCGACGCTCTAACCTCTGAACCAAACTGGCCAGGGCTCTCTTAGCAACTTTCACGTAGGCAGTGCGGTGGTTGCCGTATTGGACATTACAGCCCATGACTTCTTATCTCATAACTGGAGGGTTGTACCTTTTGACTGCTCTCATTTCATCCCCTTTCACCCCTCCCTCTGGCAACCACCAATCTGCTCTACCTATGAGTGTGGTTTTTATTTTAATTTGGTTTTTTTAGATTCCACATATAAGTGAGATCATATGGTGTATGGTGTATGTCTTTCTTAGACTTATTTCACTCAGCATAATGTCCTTGAGGTCCATCTGTGGCCTCAGCAGGTCCTCATGTGCCCTGATGTTCTAGAGGCGAGGGTGACCTGAGGGGTGATGGTGAGGGAGACACCTGGGTGCCTTCAGCCTCTCTCCTTCCTGTCCCTGCCCCATCCTGTCCTGCAGGCGAGCGAGGACAAGGTGAAGCAGCTTGTGAAGGAGATCGGCCGGGAGATCCAGCAGCTCAACATGGCTGGCTGCTACTGGCTGTCAGGCTCCACCATCGAGCGTGTGGCCCACTGCCGCAGCCTGGTGAAGGTGAACCTGTCGGGCTGCCACCTGACCTCTGTGCGCCTCTCCAAGGTGCTGTCGCCCTTGCAGCACCTGCGCTCCCTGGCCATCGATGTGAGCCCTGGCTTCGATGCCAGCCAGCTGAGCAGCGAGTGCAAGGCCACGCTGAGCCGCGTGCGGGAGCTCAAGCAGACGCTGTTCACGCCCTCCTACGGTGTGGTGCCCTGCTGCACCAGCCTTGAGAAGCTGCTGCTGTACTTCGAGATCCTGGACCGCACGCGCGAGGGTGCCATCCTCTCAGGGCAGCTCATGGTGGGCCAGAGCAGCGTGCCCCACTACCAGAGCCTGCGGGTCTTCTACGCCCGCCTGGCGCCCGGCCACATCAACCAGGAGGTGGTGCGGCTCTACCTGGCCGTGCTCAGTGACCGCACGCCCGAGAACCTGCACGCCTTCCTCATCTCTGTGCCCGGCAGCTTCGCCGAGAGCGGGGCCACCAAGAACCTCCTGGACTCCATGGCCCGCAACGTCGTGCTGGATGCCCTGCAGCTGCCCAAGTCCTGGCTCAATGGCTCGTCCCTGCTCCAGCACATGAAGTTCAACAACCCCTTTTACTTCAGCTTCAGCCGGTGCACCCTGTCTGGCAGCCACCTGATCCAGTGCGTCATCAATGGTGGCAAGGAACTCCACAGCCTGGCGAGCCTGAACCTCAGCGGCTGCGTCCACTGCCTGTCCCCAGACTCCTTGCTGCGCAAGGCGGAGCACGACATCGACAGCAGCATCCTGGAGACGCTGGTAGTGGCCTGCTGCAACCTGCAGCACCTCAACCTCTCAGCTGCCCACCACCACAGCTCCGAGGGCCCGGGCAGGCACCTGTGCCAGCTGCTGGCCCGGCTGCGCCACCTGCGCTCCCTTGCCCTGCCTGTCTGCTCTGTGGCCGACTCGGCGCCACGGGCTGACCGCAAGCCCGCCCAGCCCACTATGCACGCTGTGCCCTGCGGGTTTGGCAAGAAGGTCCGCATTGGTGTGCAGTCGTGTCCCAGCCCCTTCTCGGGGCAGGCGGGCCCCCAGCCTTCCTCCGTGTTCTGGTCTCTGCTGAGGAACCTGCCTTATCTGGAACGCCTTGAGCTGATTGGGTCCAACTTCTCCTCGGCCATGCCACGCAACGAGCCTGCCATCCGCAACCCCCTCCCACCCTGCATCCGGGCACAGAATGTCGGGGACTTGGAGGTGGCCGCCATCGGCCAGCTGGCCTTCCTGAGGCACCTGACGCTGGCCCAGCTGCCCAGCATTCTGACAGGCTCCGGGCTGGTCAGCATCGGCCTGCAGTGTCAGCAGCTCCAGTCCCTCTCGCTGGCCAACCTGGGCACGATGGGGAAGATGGCCTACATGTCCGCCCTCTCAGACATGCTGAAGCACTGCAAGCAGCTGAAGGATCTCAGGTGAGGGGCCGGCTGCCCCTCCATGGTCTTGGCTGCCCTCTGGAGGCCTGGAGGCAGCAGAGGGGAGGAGAGCCGAGCCTTGCATTGGCGAGCGTCTGCATACCTACTGTGTGCCTGCCCAGACGAACCAGATGCAGGCCTCCCTCCAGGAGCTGAGTCCGGGGTGGGGGTGCTTGTCCAGGGCCCGTGTGCAGTGATGGGACTCAGGGCGGTGTGGACATCAGGGGAGCTGCAGTTGCGGAGCGGGGCAGGGTGAGGAGAGGCAGTGGTCCCTGAGCTCCTGCCTTGTCCTCATGACCATGGCTGTGTGAGCGGTTGCACCGTGATGCTGCGGTGTACCGAGTCTTCAGCATCACAGGGTGGGGTTGGATTTCCAGTTCGGAAAAGTCCCTTTGCACCCCACCTGGGCTGCAAGGACGAGGATGGGAAGGTAGGCAGGTGGGCTCAGAAGGGGGACTGCACACTACTGGGAGGTGACGCCGGTCCCCTCTGGGGCAGGATGGCAGGGCCGATCCCAGAGTGAGATGAGGGAGAACCCACAGCCTCAGAGAACCCACTTCAGGCTCTTACCGTGGCACAGCAAAGATCCCACTGAACCACGCTGTGCACTAAAGGATGTTAATGTGAGGGCCCAGCAGTTAAAGGGTGTGCTTTTATTAACAAGACATTTGAAAACCTTCACAGATCTGATCTTGAAAAATTTTATCATTTTGCCCTGTCTGGTGTTGCTAAGTGATTAGAGCTTTGGCCTGCACACTGAAGGGTCATGGATTTGATTCCCAGTCAGGGGCATGTACTTGGGTTGCAGGTTTGATTCCCCCGCCCCAGTTGGGGCATGTTTGGGAGGCAACCAATCGATGTGTCTCTCTCACATCTCTCTGTCTCTGCCTCTCTCCCTCCCTTCCCCCTGCCCCCCTCCCTCCCTTCCCCTCTCTAAAAACCAATGGAAAAAATATCCTTGGGTGAGCCCTGGCCGGTTTTTCTCAGTGGTTAGAGCATTGGCCTGCGGTCTGGAGAGACCCAGGTTCGGTTCCCGCTAAGGGCATGTACTTCGGTTGCAGTTTGTCCCCGGCCCTGGTTGGTCGTGCGGGTGGCATCCACTTGATGTGTCCCTTTCACGTCGATGTTTCTCTTTCTCTCTCTCTGCCTCCCACTCTATCTGAACAAAAATATATCGAGAAATGTTCTCGGGTGAGGATAAAAAAAAAATCCTTGGGTGAGGATTAACAATAATAACAAAAAAATTGTATCATTTCCGAGAAACAACCCAAAATGTGGTGGCAGCAGAGCTTGGCTCTAGGAGGGCTTTGGGTTGGGCAGGAAATGGCAGCGGGTCTTTGGTCACTTAGCTGGTCTCTCAGGGGCCATAGCCAGAGAGGCACTGAGACAGTTGTGTCATTGTCCCCACAATGGTTAGTGCTCACTTTGTGCTGAGGGCCAGGGCCAAGGCCTTTCAGGCACGGCCTGTGATTCATTCCCCACAACATCGTTCCCATTTCACAGACGAGACAGTGGCAACTCGGGGGAGGGTCTGAATGCACGATTTACCTGGGTCAGTCTAGCTCCAGAGCTTGTCTTGGCCCTTGGGTCATGGAAAATGGAGACAAGTGTATGCTTTGCAGACTTCCACTCTCCCCCTCAGAAGGTTTCCTATGATAGGAAATGAGCCAGATTTGAGCCGAAGCCTTCCAGAGCATCTGCCAGGCTGCATGCAGTCCTCCCGCTGCCTCCCCTCCAAGCCCAGCAAGCACAACCCTGGCCTTCCAGGGGGCAGAGCAGGTCACGTGAGCCTACGTTTCCTGCTGTGTTGAATCGGCGTGGCCTGGATTCAGAGCATCGGTTCTCAGCCTGAGCGTCCACAGAGCCCCTGTCTGGGGAGGGGACGGTCATTTATGCTGGGTCCTGTGCATTCCAGCCACACTTGCTTTGAGAACTATAATGCTGTTCCCAGAATCCCTGGGTTTAGAAATCTGAGTCGGGGTTGACTTAACGCAAGTTGTGAGGCTGGTTTACTGAACCGCAGCAGTGCGCTGGGGTCCTGCACTTCCACGGTGCTGGGTGCTCGGGTGGCCACCCCACCAGCACTTTCTTTTTTGTTTTTATGTTAATGTTTTGTTAATCCTCACTCAAGGATATTTTTTCCATTGATTTTTAGAGAGAGTAGAAGAGAGGGAGGGAGACAGGAGAGAGAGAGAGAGAAACATCAACGTGAGAAATATTGATTGGTTTCTTCCTTCACCTACTCTGACCGGGGCTGGGGATTGAACCTGCAACCCAGGTACGTGCCCTTGACTGGGAATCAAACCCACAACCTTTTGGTTTATGGGACGGTGCTCCATCTGACTGAGCCACCCGGCCAGGGCTATTGACCTGTTTTGCAGATGAGGAAAGTGAGGCCCAGAAGTTTAATGAACTTTCCTGGGTGACACAGCTGGTCAGTGAGCAGTTGGGAATGTTTTCTGCCTCATGGACCATTGGGCATTGAACAGGGTAACGCAGCACATTTAGTGCTCACTGGGTGGCTTCCCACTCTGGGATACGATCCCTGTGGCCGAAGTCTTCCCCAGGAACAGAGTTGTATACGCGACATGTGGCTGGAGAGGCCGGCAGGACTCAGATAGATGGGTTTTGTAGGCTGCCTGAGAACCTGACCATAGCTCATAATGGCCTCTCTGTGCACGCGGTACTGAGAACCCCGTCCGACCAGGACTGGGTACTGCCTGTTCAGAACAAACACCAGTTTTTCCTCCATGCGGCCAAGTGGCCCCATCCCTCTGGATCCCTGCCTTCTGCGAAGAGGCTGGAGTGAGAGGAGCAGGTGGTGCCTGCCATGTGGGCAGGAGCCGGAGGAGGAGATGGTGCTCCGTGCTCAGCAGAGACTGGCATGAGGCAGCTCCTGCGCGTCCCAGCGGGTATTCTGAGATGGCAGCCCTCGGGATCCCAGGCCGCTGCCGCCGCTGTCCCCACCAGTGGGCCCATGAATCTGAGCTTGTGCGAGGTGGGGCCCCGGGCTGGGGGCTGCTTCCGTGCAGCAGGGCTGCTTCTGTGGGGAGGTGGCGTGGGAACATGTTCTGCTGGGGCCTTGCCGGCTCTGGATTTGTGGCACACCTCAGCAGGGAGAGGTTTACAAGTTGGACAGAGAAGGGCATCTTTTTTTATTTTTTAATTTTTTTTTTATCCTCACCCAGGGACATTTTTCCATGTTTTGTTCAGATAGAGTGGGAGGGAGAGAGAGAAACATCGACATGAAAGGGACACATCAAATGGCTGCCACCCACATGACCAACCAGGGCCGGGGACAAACTGCAACCGAGGTACGTGCCCTTAGCGGGAACTGAACCTGGGTTTCTGGACCGCAGGCCGATGCTCTAACCGCTGAGCCAAACTGGCCAGGGCGAAGGGCATCTTCTTTCCTGAGACTGATTAAGCCCTGCCTTGTGGAGGAGGGAGGAGGGACAGGGAGCATTACCCTGAGTCCCCGTAGGCTGCCTGTGACCCGGAATCAGGGAAGCATCTGGGCAGAAGTGAGAGAGCCTTTGGGAGCCAGGCCCTGGAGGCTGTCCCACGATCACCCTAGAGCCTGGGTATTGCTGGGGCCTGAGGTGGGTGGGCAGATGAGAGGTGGAGGCCTGAGCTCTGTCTTTGTCCACAGAGCAGAGTCCAGGAGTAGGGTCGGAGGGCAGATCCTTACTGGTTGGGAGGTGGGGCGTGGCTAGGAGGGGGGAGAAGGGCTGCAGGGCCCCAAGGCAAAGCCAGTCACGGGAGTACCTTTTCCTCATCCTCTGCCCAGACCACAGATCCCGTAGGCTACCTATCAGGTTCACTCTGCTGGCCCACCCAGGAGATGGGGGAAGGTTTGGACATACCAGCCCCACCTGCCCTGACAATGGAGTGGACAGGACACTCCCACCAGGCCTGCCCCACCCGGAACACCTGTGACAGGTGCTTCCTTCTAGGTGGGGAAATCTGGAAGTGGCTGGCTAGTTGAAAATACATTTATTTAGTTATTTAAAACTTTTTTTATTAATTGAGAGAGAGAAACATCAATGAGAGAACATCGATTGGCCGCCTCCTGCATGCCCCTCACTGGGGATTGGCCCCACAACCCGGGCATGTGCCCTGACCAGGAATCAAACTGGTGACCTCTTGGTGCATGGGTCGACGCTCAACCACTTGAGCCACACCAGCCAGACTGAAAACACATTTGAAGTGTGTATGTACACAATACAGCTCCCTCGCTCTCTGCCTATTTGGTCTGTAACCCAGGAGGTTGGCCCCGGGCTTGGCGGATAACGCAGATCTGCATCGCCATCTAGTGACCAGGTGGGGCCTGACCCCTCTCCTGGCCTGCCCGGCCCCACCCAGCCCTGCTCCAGGGCAGCTTCCAGTCAGGTGACTTGCAGCTCAGCAGTCCCGATACTGGATGTTGGCCCCTCCAGGGGTCCCACTCTAAGCTCTGCAAAGAAATGCTTGCCTGAGGGATTTTTCAAAATTTGTTTTTGAAAGAACTAAGTAGTGTGTTCAGGCATTTTCTTGAGGAAAAATTCACGGCCATAGTGGGAACACACCTGCTTAGCCTCCGCTCTCTGCACCTCGACTGCTGCCTTACCCTGTTGGTGAGTTTGCGTCTCACAGGCTGCTCTCCACTCATGACTTCGAATTCCCAGGTTTTTTAGGATGAAATTCAGTCAGTGGAGTCCAGGGACAGGCTTGTGCTCCGTGTGACATCTCACTGACGGCTGTGGCCGCCGGGGCAGTTCTTTACCTGGTGCCCACGCCCAGACAGCCCGCTGAGGGCCTCCTTCCTGCGCACTGGGAACGACGGCAGGGAGGGAACGGTCAGGTTTTTCCAAATTGCAGCCAGAAGGACCCACATTTCCCTCCTCCAGTCTTAGCACAGGAGCTCACTAGTATTTCTGCTCACATTTTAGTAAAACAAAGTTGAGGCCCAGTCTCACTGGCCGCGTTTCAGTTCCTGGTGGCTCCCAGACAGGGCGGCTCAGTGCAGGAGCTCCTGTGGGGCTCCCAGACCTGACTTCAAAACCCCTGGCCTGCCCCTGGCCGGTTTGGCTCAGTGGTGAGCGTGTCGGCCCGTGGACCAGAGAGTTTCGGTTCAGTTCCTGCTAAGGGCACGCACCTCGGTTGTGGTTTGTCCCTGGCCCCAGTTGGGGTCGTGTGGGTGGTGGCCACTCGATGTGTCTCTCACATCGATGTTTCCCTCTCTCTCTCTCTTCCTCTCTCCCTCCTGCTCTATCTGAAGACAAATGCAAAAAAAAATGTCCTCGGGTGGGGATAAAAAAACAAAAGAAAACCCTGGCCTGTCATGTGACTCAGTGTCCCTGGGTGTGAGGGTGACGGAGACTAGTGCGAGGCCTGTGCAGCCTTCTTTGGGGTTTGGGACTGGAGGGGCGCCTGCTGACTGCTCCTTCCTAACCTGCATCCCGGTTGGGTCAGCTTCTCTCACTGTGTCACTGTGCTCAGAGCACTGGAGCTCACCTTCCACCTGGGGACTTGGGGAGGCCTGGACAGGGACCCTCTGGGGGTGGGACTGGGCATTTCCTGCTCATACTGGCAGCTTCTCTCCTTTTATGATGAGAGCTCACAGCTGCAGACCACCTTTCAGGGCCACCAACCTGGCCTCATCAGTTTACAACCTTTCGGGTGTTACATGCCAATGGAGGTCTTGCCCTGGCCCACCCAGGGATGTGTTTGCTCTGTGGGCAGGGCCATGGCCCAGAGAGACATGGTCCCAGGTGTGACACAGTGTTTTCACAGTGAGTGATTTCCACAGCACCTGGGCCTTGGAGAGTCGGGCGGCCAAATGGATTTGCTTGGCTGGCCTTGGGGAACACTCTGAATGTGGAGGGAAGAGAACAGTGTCACCCCAGCCTGCAGCAGTATCCCCACAAGTGGGGCTGCAGCCTGGCCAGCACTGTCCTGTGCCTGGTGTCAGGGTCTGGTTACTTGTTAAAGAGGGCTGGGTCCCTACTGCTCGGGGGCCCTAGACCAGGAGGCCCTGTCCCCAGTGCCAGCAGCACGCGGCAGGCCCTCCTGCGGGACTGACACTGCCCTCTCTCTGCAGGCTGGAGCAGCCCTACTTCAGCGCCAACGCCCAGTTCTTCCAGGCCCTGAGCCAGTGCTCCGCGCTGCAGCGCCTGTGCCTGGTCTCCCGCAGCGGCACCCTGCAGCCCGAGGCTGTGCTGGCCTTCATGGCCCGCTGCCTGCAAGTCGTCGTGTGCCACATGTTCACTGGGGAGTCCCTCGCCACCTGCAAGAGCCTACAGCAGACTCTCCTCCGCAGGTGAGTGGGCGTGGTCAGGCGGGGCTGCTGGTGCCAGGAGGCCTGGGCAGCAGCTCCATCCCAGCCACCCTCCCGAAGGGGCCTGGTTGCTGTCCCTCCCTCAGGCTCCATTGAATGATGCCCCACAATTATTTTCTGGAATTAAATACCATTGGGCAGCCCGGCTGGTGTGGCTCAATGGATTGAGTGTTGAGATTCCCAGTCAGGGCACATGCCCGGGTTGCAGGCTCGATCCTTGGTTGTAGGTGTGTGCAGGAGGCAACTGCTCAATGTTTCTCTCACATCAATGTTTCTATCTCTCCCTTCCTCTCTCTCTTAAAAAAAGTCAATAAAAACATTAACAAAAACAACAAAACAAAATCACAGGGCAGAGATGGGGTGAGAACCAAGGGTTGATTTCCATTCACACCAGGACCTCATCTCCCTGGGCATTCTCTCTGCCACGTGTTAATTTCCAGAGTTGAAGCCCCTCACCCCTGAGGGCAGAAGTATTCTTGTCGTCCTGCAGCTTCCTGTAATGTCACCTCCTGAGTTCCCATAGTGCCATCATCAGACCGGGTGAACAGTGCAGAATTGCCTCAGTTTCCCCACTGACCCTCCTGTTTCAGGACTCCATGCAGAACCCTCGTCAGGCTCAGCTGCCACGTCTCCTTAGTTTCCAGTCTGTGATTGTCCTCAGTCTGGCCTGGTCTTTCATGACCTTGACACTTTTGAAGAGCACTGGCGAGGTATTTGGCAGAGTGTCCATCAGTTTGGGTTTGTCTGATGTCTTTTGGCCAGAAGGTGATGCTGTGTCCTTCTCACTGTAGCATTTCAGGGACACGTGGTGTTCTCGTGTCTTATCACTGCTGAGGTTAACCTTGACCACTGGGTAGTGTCTGCCAGCCCTCCTGCTGTGAAGGCACTGTTGTTCCCTTCTGACTGAGAAACATCTTGTGGGAGACACATCAAGAGTCCGGTGCTGTTTCCCGTCAGACCGCCCACCACTCTTACCCCACCAGGGATCTGGTGACAGCTAACACTTGGACGTTCGCCCAGCGATGGTTTCGTTTCCTTCATTCCTTCTGCGTGACAACAGGAACTCTGCTGTGAGGGAGACCTGTCCCTTCTCCCACTGACTTATTCATTCGTTCACATATTTCCTTGCGTCGTGGATCTTGATCTTTAGTGGGTTTCAGGCCAGTCGTTCCAGATGTGGCTGTGGGCTGTCCTCTCAGATTGGGGCCTGTGCCCTTGCAACGTGCCCCTTTCTTTGCTGTGCACTTTCTGTCACTACAGGACATTCCAGGCTCGTCTGGTATTTTCCCTGCCCCAGCCCTGGAACTGAACAGTTCTCCAAGGAAACCTGGTTCCTTGTATGGGAGAGGAGTATTTAGAAACCAAGAGAGGGGCTTTAGGTGTGTTCATTGCTACTGGGGTGTCATCGCCTCTAGGCCCTCTCCTGGACAGAGTAGTAAATTGATCGACGTACCGCACATATATTTATTTCCATACTGTCCATGTGCATTTATATTGAAAGCGAGTTCATACTGACATCTTCGATTCCAACCAGCATCACAGGATTCCTCATAGTTTACCCCTTCCTGACTTGTGACCTCCTCCAACAGCAAAGAGCCTGGCCCTTGTCATTCAGTTTATTTGCTGGTTTGTTTAGCCCTAGTGGGCGTGTGAGGCCGTTTCAGAACTGCTAGCTCACTGTGCTGAGAGACAACCCTGGAAGATGTTTGTGCCATTTTCTGTCTGGGCCTCAGTCTCCAGTCAAAATACCGCTTTCCCATGTTCTCAGGGCTGTTCTTGCCTCCCGCCTCTCCAGTGTGGTCACGTCACTCCTCTGGAATGCAGTCAGGGTCTGCGTTGCCACTGGGCAACCTGCTTCACATTCACCCGTATCCTGTTTGGTTTGTTTCTCTGTGTTTTGGTGTGTGAAGTCTTCCTGTGGTTCCGAGTCAGCTCTAAAAGGGGTGCTTGGAGAAGTCGGCCCTTGGCTCTCCCCCCATTCCCCCTCCCCACCCCACCCCCGTCACCAGTCCCACCAGTCTCGTTCATCCTCTCTGTGTGTCGTTTGCACAGAGGAGCATGTACATGCGTCTTTTCTCCTACCCACTTCTCATGCATGCCTTGCTTTTCCACTTAATGTATATCTTGGAAACCACTCCTTACCAGTTCGTTCTTTTTATATGGTGGTGAAATATGTATAACAAGATTGACCGTTTTACCTGTTTTCAGGTGCTCAGTTCAGGGGCAGAACACATTCACACTGTTGTGTGACTGTCACCACCGCCCACCCACGGACCGTTCTCATCTTCCCAGCTGAGACCCTGTCCCCATGAAACACGAGCTCCCCGTCCCCTCCCAGTCCTGCGACCCCTTATTCCACTTTCTGTTTCTATGAATTGACGCAAAGATCTTTGAACTAAAATTTTCGAGTCTCTGCACTTTGTTTAGGTTTAGTAGCAGTGTTTACCTGGATGGCGGTGGGTAAAGCTGGTGGATATAAAAACAACTCTCCTCCCTGGGGCTGCTTTTCCCCTCCATGCCCTCTGCGGGCCGAATTTCCCTTCCAGCCCTGTCGGGGACTTTGTGAAAGGTGTCTGGGACCCAGCTTCCCCTAGGGAGGGTGGCCTTCCTGGAGTTGGAGCTGGGACTTAGATGAGCACCCGGAATTGAATACAGGTCAGGAGGAATGCTTCCCGGAGAACTTGACTGGAGCAGAACTTGTTTGGGGGGTGAAGCATTCAGAGACCACTCCTGAGGAAATGCACAGTGCCCCTGATAGAGGGTTGATGGTGGATACCCTCACTTCAGCATGGCTGGGAGGGTCCAAGCTCCTCCTTCAGCTGTGTCCCCGCTGGTGGGGGAGATGACAGGGAGGCGGCCCAGATGTTCTCAGATGTCTGAGAAGAGCCATTAGCCAGGCTCCAGGATCAGTGGCCCCATGGGCAAGACCGCATGTGGTCTGCTGTCTGCAGTTTGCCACCGACTTTCCCAGGAGAAATCCTGGCTACAGTTTCCCCTCTTTGGTTATAAAAATAATATGTGTTGATAATATTTCTAAAAATTTAGACTATGTATCAAGCTCTTTTGAAGTGACAGCTCCCCGCAGTTCCACCAAGTGGAGGTCACAGCAACCCGCAGGCTGGAATGGAGCGCTCAGGTGGTTTCCTCGTCTTATTTGTTAATTTAATGCTAAATCATGGAGGGAGGGGGAAAGAGAGACAAACATCCATGTGAGAGCGACACATCGACTGGTTGCCTCTGCACGACCCTGATCAGCGCCGGGGATTGAACCTGCAACCCAGGTACGTGCCCTTGACTGAGAATTGAACCCATGACCCCTTGGTTCTCGGGCCGACGCTCTAACTGCTGAGCCATACCGGCCAGGGCCCAGATGATCTTTCCAAATGCTGTTTGGCACCTGTCATGAGGGGATTGCTAGGGTCAATGGCCAGCCAGAGCCACCTCTGATCAGTGACTTCCTGCACCTCAGACTGGTTCTCTGGCTGTGGAACCGGAGGGGCCGGGTGGTGCAGGGCACGCCCACTGCTCACGGAGTCCCCTCACCTGGGCATCCTTGTTCTGGGATGTGGAGTTGATGCCAGCTGGGGTGCTCACTTGTCAGAGGGCTGGCTGCGGTACAGGCTGGGCAGTGCACAGTGTGAGGGCTTCAGGAGCTGGGGTGCAGCTGCTCTGCACAGCACTGCCCCTCTCCACCTGCTCTCTGCCTGCTGGAGGGGGCAGAGGTAGCCTTCTTTGTGGCGGTGAGCGTGTTGCCGGTTCTGTGGGCCCCGCGTGCTCCTCTAGAAGTCATTGGATTCCGGGGCCTGGCTGGCTCCTCTTCACCAAGCACCTGTCCGTGCGGGTACTGTGTACCGCCTCTCTTGTTCAGACCTCACGGAAGCCCTGTGAGATACGTCCCATTAGCCCCCGTGTACAGATGGGGAAACCGAGGCTCCGCGAGGTGAGCGAACAGTGCAGCCAGGACCCTAGCAGTGGAAAAATGGAGGGGAGAAGGGCACCCACACCCTCCAGGGGCCGTGCTAAGCTGCTGTGTGCAACTGTCCCCTGCTCCCCTGCCCCCCTGCCCCCCCACATCCTGATGGAGGTTCACAGGCTACAGAATCTTCTGCGTTCAGCAGGACTGTGTTCAAGTCTGCCTTTCTCCTCCAGCCCCAGAGACAGATGGGAGAGGCTTCTTGGTGTACATCTTCCTGGTGGCCTCTGTGGCCCATAATTCTCTGCTGTGTGGCCCTCGCCATGGATCTGGGCCATCCAGAGAGGCCTTTCCTGGCTGGGAGACAGGGCGGTCCAGGCAGCTGTCTGCTCAGAGGGGACCTGCTGGCCTACCTGCCACTTTCAGGTCTGGCCCTCCTGCTGCCCTGCCCTTAAGGCCTTTGATGTGGCAGTGAGGTTCCCTGCTGCTTTTCTGTGAGTGCCCAGCAGATGGTGCCATGGCTCCCAGGAACCAGGGCTGGGCCCCAGAGCTGCTGGTTTGTCTGCTCCAGGCCTGCTGGTCACCAAATGGAGAACAGAAAAGCAAGAAGCTGGACTTTGCTGTCACTTCTTCTTATGCTTATCTTTTTTCTCAACCCTTTCCCTGCCTCAAGCTCAGAATTATTGAGCAGGAGGAAACACCTGGTGTGTCACCTGCCCGCTCACCTGCCTGGTGTTGAAGTGTAGCCTGTACCCGTGATAAGCAGGGCTGGTCATGTCTGCAGTGCTGTCGCTGGGGGAAGTGTCACCTCTTCACATGTGGCCAGTCTCAGCATCTCAGTGGGTGGTCATCCACAGTCACTTCTTATTGCCAGGCCTTTGCAAGTTTAGCACCAGGACCTGCTGCTCCAGCCCTGCTGGGACCTGGTTTTGGGTCCCTGCCTCTCGGAAGCTCTGGCCTCAGGTGGCTGCTTCCTCAATTGCAAGCTAGCTTGAGACAGGCCGGGAGGTCGTCGTAACGGTGGGAGGTGTGTGTCCAGCCCTGAGTGCCGCACCCTGACCAGCGTTCA